TTCTTTATAGGCCAACTCTCACATCCATACATGACCACTGGAAAAACCAAAGCCTTGACTAGACGGACCTTTGTTGACAAAGTAATGTCTCTGCTTTTCAATATGCTGCCTAGGTTGGTCATAACTTTCCTTCCAAGGAGTAAGCATCTTTTAATTTCATGGCTGCAATCACCATCTGCAGTGATTTTGGAGCCCAGAAAAATTAAGTCAGCCACTGTTTCCACTGTTTCCCCATCTATTTCCCATGAAGTGACGAGACCAGATGCCATGATCTTAGTTTTCTGAATATTGAGCTTTAAGTCAACTTTTTCACTTTCATCAAGAGGCTCTTTAATTCTTCTTCACTTTCTGCCATAAGGGTGGTATCATCTGCATAGCTGAGGTTATTGATATTTCTCCTGGCATTCTTGATTCCAGCTTGTGCTTCCTCCAGCCCAGCGTTTCTCATGATGTACTCTGAATATAAGTTAAATAAGCAGGGTGACAATATACAGCCTTAATGTCCTCCTTTTCCTATTTGGAACCAGTCTGTTATTTCTTTGGGTATTATTATTTAGGACAAAACCAATCTTTGAAAAGAGAGTAGGTTTAAAGTCTGTGTGTAAAAAAATATTAGTAACTAAGAATAAATGACAGATACGGCAGGAATGGTGAAGGTGGTATGCTAATGATTATAGTTTGGGAAACGGTGAAGCTAGAGGGCAAGATTCTGGTTTGACTTTGTCAGAGAGATTCAGCCATTAGGTAGCCTTGACACCTGAGGCAGCTGACTCGACCTACATCTCTTTCTATAGTTTGCCATGAAGATTCAGGGGATTAAGATGAATGAAGCACTTAAAATAGTGCCCACCACCTAGCAGTTGTTCAAAAAGTGTTGTTATTGTTCTGTGTTCAATTGTATAATAATTTATCCCAGCAGATTTTTTTAAATAAGAGTTGAACAAGACCATAACTGGACAGCTGGAGTCTCTAATAACCAGCTGATCACGTGCCTTACATTATTCCCTGCAAGTATTGTTTTTATCATCTATGAGGCTAACGTATTATATTAGAGTTACTAATATAATAGTGAGCTCAGATTGCAGGCTGAGTTTAGATAAGCTAAATTTAGAGGATTTCTGTTTATTTGGGTAGGTCTGTCCCTCCTATGAGCACTTTCCTCTCCCTACACCCCACCAATTTTACACTATGTTTATAAAGCAAAAACCATATTTCCATCCTTTTACAAATTATTTTTTTCAAATTTCAACATTTAGATGACACCTAAAAGCTCTTTGAGATGAACAAAATTATCTGTTTCCTTATTTGCACCACTTTTTTCCTGGCTATCAAAAGAGCTTCTATGCATTTGCTTTGAGCAAACCCATTGCATTCATTCCTAAGGTGTAGCTTTCTATGTATGTGAACTTGCAAATCTCTTTACTAAAATGAAGTTCCAAGATCACTTTATGGGTTTCTTTGAAATAACAGTGACTTGAAAGTAAATAATCTTGACTTCAGTTTATCTATTAATATTTGTGGTCTGCACTGAAGGAAATCACTTGATTTCTGGGACTGATTCTTACCCATAAAATGAAGTTAGACTAGGTCAAAGGTTTTAACCCAGGTTATATAGATGGAGTCTATACATTTGGACAGTGATTTTTTTTACTAACCTATAACTGAAATTTAGGATTTCCTTCATTTGTAGGCAACAATACACAGAGTAACATTTGTGATAGTTGTGTTTGTCACTAGTGGACTTAGTCACTTAGTCATATCTGATTCTTTTCAATCCCATGGACTGTAGCCTGCCAGGCTCCTCTGTCCTTGGGATTTTTCATGCAAGTAAACTGGAGTAGGTTGCCAGTTCCTTCTCCAGGGGATCTTCCTGACCCAGGGATCGAACCCATGTCCCCTTATTGCAGGAAGATTCTTTACCTTCTGAGCCATTGGTGAAGCCTGTCACCAATGGAATCATCAATATTTTCATAACATTTAAATTCATGAAGAAACATTATAGTATCCTTTGATCTTATTTTTTCAGAATTATATAGATGATAGACCTGCAGCTATACCTTGTTATTTAATGAATTAATGAAGAAGCACATATGTTACTGTATCATATCTTAAGGATTACTTGAAGATGTTGATAATTATATTTGATACAAATGAAATCCTTTGTATTTCATTTATTTGTGAATTTTATTTTAAGGAAATCATAGGTTTTACCAAACTAAAAGAGGGGACAATTCAAAACTGTGTGGGACCTTGCATTATAAGGAAGTTTCTTAGAAGGTCTTTTACACTGACCACTCTTTGGTCATGAAGATTATCTAAAATGTGATGAATTTATCTGAAATTCATGAATGTGATAAATTGAAAAATGCAAATAATTTCTTCTTTTCTGACAGAATGATATCTCATATTTCAGAATGATATGGCTTTCTCTTTTTATGAAAGCCTACGAGTCACTTTCAAAGGGTATTATCCAAGTTAGTTGTAAAGCCTTCTATAACTAAAGATTTATTAACTAAAAGTAATATGATTTGAATATGCTGAAGACCTGAATTCAGTATTTTCCTAAGCATTCTGGCTGACATGCAATTGACTGGTAATGTTATGTATGTGCCCCTGAACCATCTGGAATTTTACAGTTTCAAGGAACACATTTTTTTTCGCAGGGCCACAAAAGTCTTGTCTTGTGTTGGTCACAGTTTTAAATTGCTACTTTCCTAATTGTGTGTATGGAATTGCTCTGGGATGTAGCCTATGTAACATTTTTGTAATGCTGTGTTTTAACCATTTGTTATTTTACTCCTCTTCCATTCTTTTATTACTGGTGAGCTCTTTATCCACTAGAAATAAGAGCATTTGATTATTGGTAAACCTCAGTGTCTTTTGTCAACCGTAAAAGGTTCTCAAAAATTTTGAGATGATTACTTAATTACTTATATTTCTTTCTTTTAATTCAATCTTTTTTTCTCTGTTCTGTTCTATTTTTTTCTGTTCTATTTTGTTCTGTTCTAATCTAGTCATAAGTAGCAAGATTTAAATCAGAAGTTTAAGACAAGACTAGATGATAAATGTGAGAAACACAATTACTTGGGCAGCGGAAATTTCAAAGAAGATCCAAAAGTCAATTATAGGGTGCCTATAACCATCACCCAATTCAAATAATTGAAAAGGTCAGGTTGTTGATAGATAGAATAGGATTTGTGAGGAAGTGTTCTTTAATGCATTCTCTGCTATTGGGAAAGGTATAGAAATTCTTCCCTCTTCACCTCAAGTCAAAGGAAGATAGTTTCACCCTTGGAGAGCTTGAAGTAAAGGGGATATTGGGAATGGAATCTGTATCTTATGTGAGAGATATAAGAGGTTAGAAGATGATAGATAAGCTGAAGGAGAGGAAGCTATGTAGATTTCAGCCTTTCCTCAACTAATTTATAGGAATAAAGGCCTAAAGAATGCTTCATGTGAACTGAATGTAGCGTATCTTTATTTGGAAGCATGATAGGGCCTCTGGAGACAGAATCTGGAGATGCCCTAAGAAATTTCAAGGGGCTGTGGACATTGTAAAGGAACACGTGTCCATGCCAAGGTTGTGAGAAGTCTCCAAGCGTGGTCCTTGGCAAGAAGTCCCTGGAGAGCCCATGCATGTGCTCACCAAGTAGTCAGCTCTATACGCCTGCCAGGTCTGGTGAATCCAAAGCCATCCTGCAGTGGGAGTCTTAGTCTTCCCTCTCTTGCTCCAGCTCAGGGGTCCAGGGTAGCCAGCTGACAGAGGACAAGCAACTCTGCTTGCTGCTTGCTTAATTAATCCTGCCTGCTTGAGCTTAAAAGAATAAAGAGAGAAAGAAACATCAATCAAACGCTCCTCTCCCACCCCCCATCACCACAATTTCTAGGCTCTGCAACAAATCCAAGGTTGGGAAGAAGTTTTATCTGTTTTAAGGTTGATGTATATTGTATGTGACCAGACCTAAGACACTGGCAATTTAATGTGATCACACAATGTTTTTATTATATAAGAATGATTGGAGAAGTCCTGATATTACCTAAAAAATTGAAGCTGGGACAGAAGATAAGTGTCCCCTGCTAAGTGTATTTTAAAGAGAGTAAAGGACAAAATAATTTTGTTTTGTGATAATAATACTCCTGTATGTTCACTCCGTTTATGAACTCAGTAAAAATCTATTGCAGTTGAGACAATGCAGTCTTACAATATATGTTGGAAAAACAATCTCAAAATCAACTGGTGCAAAGTTTAATTGTCAACATATTTTCAATCAAATTTTAGATGGAAAGAACATTCTATCATATATGACTATGACTATTTTTTGAAATATCAAAGTATTTTGAGTAATTGACTCAAAAACCAACTTATGCTAATTTTTAACTTTCTCACATAATAATTCTCTTTTATCCGTACATTTTGCTTTGTGTTTCTATTTTTTGTACATTCTCTGCAGCCTCTCTAGAAATGGAACATTTTCCATGCTATTTTTTTCTCAAAGTTTATATAGAAGCTGAGTGATTCTAAGATTATAAATTCCATTAGTTTGTTTTGACAGATGATGTATCTTAAACATTACATTCTCTTATACTCATTTTTTAAAATTCATAGCAACTAAGCAATGTGTGATATAAGACAATGAACTTTAGAGGGTTTGTTTGAAAGAATATATTTCAATTAAAAATATTTGGGAAAAACATGCATAATTTTTATGTTTGATTTAATAGATGCTTGAACATGTCTCATCTGTTTCATTTCTGTATCTCCAGATTAAATTTCAACTTCACAAACTTGTATAACAACCAGAAGATGACTTGTATACTCTATAAATCCACAGGCTGAAAAGAAAGTATTTGGTATCTTTGAAGAAATGTGCCACAGATCCATTATAAAATCTAGTCTTCAGTGTTTTACTGATTGCTTCAGTTTCCTGACCTAATTAGGTTTTCCCCCCTCAGGTCTATTTTGTTTTTGTTTATTTGTTGTTTGTGTGCTTATTTTTCAGGTGAACCTGACCCGCATAAGAACTCAGATCTAGTAAATGCCGAAGAAAAACATGCTGAGACACATTCATAGGTTTGAAACACCTTAAAGACATCTTTCATTATAAGTATGGGAGGTAATTTTATTTTTTAGATGAAAAATTTATTTCTGAAGTGGATGGTTTGGAGAGTATCATTAGAAACAAAGTTATCTTATTTAAATGTCCTTTTGGATTCTTTTCTTTTAAATCTCTATTTTCTGAGGCAAACCCTTAACAGGTAAGCTTTAAATATTTACTGTTTAAGTTTACCTTTTCAAAGGATTCTTGACTTACTCATCAATAAAAATTATATTTACTGAGACCTTTTAGTCCTTTAAAAATAATAAGCTATATCCTATGGGGAGGTTTAATTCTGTTTTCTTCTACTACTTCATAAAAGAAATATGAATTTTTGATACCAGTTTCCTTTTCTACTTCATGTAGGAAATATGAGTGTTTACATTGGGTGATAATAACAAAGCAAGTACATATTATAAAACAACATCAATATTTGCTAAAATCCATGGACATTGCAGTAATGATTATCTTTTTAAAAATTCAGCTTCTAGGGCTCACCTTTGGTCCACCAAATTACCAGCTCTGGGAGTGATGCCTTAGGAATCTGAATTTTTGATAATTCAATCTGTTGTAATTTCTATATACTGAAGTTGAAAACCACTCTCTTGGGCAGAGAAGGTGCAAGCAGCTAGAAGGGAGTTAGAAGGGAGGAATGTATTTTTATAGTGGAGATGTCTTAATGTCTGTTTAAAAAGTATAAAAAAATGAGTCTTGCTATTGGCTTGATGGTGGAGGCAAGACAAAATGCTGCAGGTACCATATCAAGTCTTTGAGATGTTATTAGTAGCACCTCAAATGTTGCTTTAAATTGATGAAGTTAAAATGTAGTTAGCCATAACCATTTTGTATATGCTGCATTTAGACGTACTTATGGCAAAGAAGGCATTTTTTTTTTTTAAGGAAACAAATTCACAAGAAATCATGAAGCTATACTAAAGCTATATATGCCTAAAAAGCTCTGAGTTCGGGTCCCATTGCAGTCACAGAGGAATGAACAGAACTCCCAACCCCCCTTTTTTTATATAGTGAAAGTGCCTTAGCATGATTGCAGCTGTCACCACGAGAGTGAGCTGTTTTACAGATGTTTTCCACTGAGCATCACAATAAAGGGAACCTTGCACTATGAAAAATAAGAAAAAAAATGTGGTTAGCTTTTAAGATGAATCATTCCCCAGTATTCTTGAGTCAGTTGTAAGATTCTTTAATCGCTACTAATAGTTTCACTAATAGCAACTATCAGTGTCAGGCACTGTGATGAAATCTTATATTTAGTCCTATCAACAGTTCCAGAGTTGGTGACTGTGATTAATAGTTTACATATGAATTGCGGATAGAAATCAAATCACAAAGTGGATAGAAATTTTAAAAACCAGCTCTATATTGAAAATTTTTAAGATATTGTCTTATATTGAAACTCCAATACTTTGGCCACCTGATGCGAAGAGCTGACTCATTTGAAAAGTCCCTGATGCTGGGAAAGGTTGAGGGCAGGAGGAGAAAGGGATGACAGAGGATGAGATGGTTGGATGGCATCACTGACTCAATGGACATGAATTTGGGTAGGCTCTGGGAGTTGGTGATGGACAGGGAGGCCTGGCATGCTGCAGTTCATGGAGTCGCAAAGAGTCGGACACGACTGAGGGACTGAACTGAACTGAACTGAACTTGTATTAGTTAACAACAATTTCTCTCCATAACCTCCATCCAAACTTTAGACACACACACACATTTACACACAAAAGAGACAGGAAGAGAAATTCCAACTGATATAAAAAGCATATCTATCATTTTCTGATAAATCTCTTATTTTTGTGAGGTCAGTAAAGTCCAACCTGAAATTGCCACACAATAATTGATGCCTATATATGACTAAAACATGATCTCCCTTTTCATTTGGATTTTATTTCAGGATAATGAAAACAGCACTAAAATATTCTAAATCCTCAATTTTTCACAAATCTTTTTCTCCTCTTTCAACACACACTCAGAACAGGCCATTTTATGAACTCACATAAGAGACGAACATAAATTCTGAGCTAGGAATTCTAGCCACATAAATACACTCAAAGTTGCTATCAGAGATTTTGGCCAGTGCTTCTGCCATTGCTCTTTCTCCACAATTTGGCCTTCTTCAATCAAACCAGAGAAATTTTAAGGCAAAAGTTGGACATTTTCAAACTTTTATCACTTTCAACCCAGTTATTACATAGGCGACTATGCAATGTATGTACAGAACATGAGGCATTTTAAAATTTTACTTTCTTGCTTTGTTTCACACAGAGTGCTGTAACTACAAAACTTGCAAGCTGCTAAGTAAAACGAAAGCAAAAACAAAATTATAGAAAAATATTTTTGCAGCTCTGAGGCTATTTAGATTGTCCTTGTTGTTTTAAATACTTGGGAACCAAGTGAGAAGAGGGGCTGCTCAGAAGTTGTAGTTGAAGTCCTAAGACAGCAATGAAGCATCAGAGCCCTGACTCTGTGACCTGATGAACTCTTCATTGTAACTCTCAAGCGGGGAAACCACAGCGAAACCTGTTCCTGAAAGCAGTGAACCAGTCTGCATCCACCACTGTTATTGCAAAGCACTAAAGCATCCCCCACATGGGGGTCATCACAATGCAAGTCACTCAAGACCTATGATCCAAGATGACAAGAACCTCCAGCCCTTGTTGGAGACAGACACTAGAACTGTCTGGATTTGCCTTCTGGGCTGTTAATCTCATCATGATGTAACAAAATATATTACAGGTCAAGGGATAAGTGACAAGAAGTGTGTGTGTGCGCGCGTGTGTATGTGTGTATGTACTCAAAACTGTCTGTGAAAATGGAAGCCCACACTTCTGCACAGAGAACATTGTTTGATGTGAATTTATAATTTTACTACAAACTGCAGCAATTGGAGACTGCTTCCTTGTCATGTTTTGCCTGAGCATGTGCAGAGCCTTGCCTTTGTTCCAAATTGAAGAACTACCTTTATTTGTTATTAGCTGCCAAGGAAGGTCAAGCCCAAGTAGGTGGTGTAATTTTCACTGTACAAACTCTTCAATGATTGTGAGACTAAATGAATTTGTTTTTGTGACAGGTAGAAATTAGATGGGAAAGATCAAGAGTAGTCATCAATTAAAGAAGAAAGTGAAGGTGGATATGTCCATCCTAATGAGTTTTCTGTCGCACCTGCTTCTTCCCTGGGTTCCACAGTGCTAAGCAATATTTTAGAATGGATGCAATCAGAAGCTTTTAAGTCTAAGTAGTGGGATTTTATAACTCACAACTTAGATATCTTTTCATGTGTAAGCCATATTCTATATGCATATTAGGTATGCATTATTCTAATTTAAGATATATTTGTGCATAGACTGTGTATAAGATGCTTTTAAGTGTTCTGTGAATAAGGTCCTTAGCTCTTGTTTCACCTGAAGCATATGTAGAACACAGATAAATAATTGAATTGTATCATAGATATTATAATACAATTGATATTTTAAATGTAAGCAGTAAAGATTGACCTAGAATGATGTGTTGCAGGGAAAATTTATAGATATGTACATCATGGTGACTTTTTGTCCTTTAACAATGGATTTCTTATTTCTATTTATGGAAAAACTGCAATTACTGCTTTTAATGTCTTTTTTAAGGTAGCTATTTACAAACTAGAAAATATTCTGCATTTAAAATAGAATCTGACTGTCTGGGAAGTCTAATTACTATTGTTCCTATTTGAGCCAGTTGTTTTTCATTAAAGGCATAGAATCTCTCAACAGAGAAATAAATGGAAACACTGCTTCTGAACTGTCATAGGAAACATGTCCACTTTGTTCCTATTAATACTTTAAGATATGTAGACTTTATAACCAAAACAATATAAGAGTATAATGAAGTCATTATTTTCTGTATATGGGTTTTAACCTAATTTTCCAGGCTATGTAACTTATAAGGCACTGTGACAGAACTTCCAGGGGATCCGAGAAAACATGCTCCATCCCTTCAGAAGAGTTGTCATGCTGTTGATGCATTTATTCCTTTTAAACTAACCTCCCTGTCTCACTTCCTCTTTCCCTCCTTCTATTTCCTGTCTTTACTTCTCTCTTCTGTATCTTCCTTATTCCCTCCTTCCTCCCTTTAAGATAGCCACTGACTTGTCTTAATTAGCAGGAAATTAGAGGGAGGGTAGTGCTGCCCATCCCTTCTTGCCAACATGGTGTGGAATCCATCCTGAAGAGAAGGATGAATAAATTTGACTCCTGAGCCTTAAATGTTTTGCTTAGCATTGTACCTTCAGCTACCCAACATATATCTAACAATTTCTAGGCCTTTTTATTTAAGCAGTATCTCTTTTATTTAATTTTTAACATGACAAGCTACAATTCTTGTGTTTTTATTCTGCTGTAATTTTCCATATTTCCTATTATATATGATTGTTAAATAAATCCTACTGGAGGGAAAATATTGTGAACCATTTGGTGCCTGATATAATTCGATTTGGTAGGGCATTATAAAGTTGATGAAATCAGGGAAAACCAGAAGTACATCATCCTAAAAATGGATATGAATTCTATCAGAAAGTGATTTTTACTCAATGAAAGAAATGTTCATTGAACATGTATTATTGCACCTATTATTTGTGTGCTCCTGGCTAGATGCATGTGCATATAGGATTCTGGAAAGCTGAATCATTACTCTAGAAACTTCCTATTTTATAGAGGAGCAAATCTATACACATAAATAACTAAAATGCCACATATAAAGTAATCAGGTACAAATAAAATGCCCCCCTCTGGATATTAAAGGAGGTAAACACTGCCTTTATCTTCAGGGCTTCCAAAAATGGATGGCACATGAGTTGACATTTCAATAACAAATAATAAACAAAAGCTCATATTCATCACCTATTTTCTATATACAAGCTCCAGGTAAGCACTTAACAAATGTTATCTCTAATCCTCAATCATCTGGTAAAGTGGGTATCAATATG